CCCGCCGGCTGGAGGCCGGCTCCTCCGTGCCACCGGGCCTTGGTTCTTCAGAACCCGGCACGGCAGGACAAAGCAAAACGAGGTGGGTTGTCACTAAACCCTCTTTCCCCGTTAGCCTTTTCGGGCACGTCTTCCTTTCTGACAGTCTTGGGCGTGTTGGGGACGTTTGTGTTCAGGCTGAGGTAGTTCTTCCTAAAAATTAAACTGCCTGCCAACACTTCAGCTCTCCGCATGCTGTAGAACCAACGGAAATGTGCACAAGTGCAAGAATTCACTTAAAAACAAAAAAAAACCAAAAAAAACCAAACCACCACCAAAAATCCAAACACAAACAAACAACCAAAAAAACCCCAACAAAACCCCCAACAAGGAGGCCGGAGACCCTCCTCTGGCCAAGGGAGCTCCCCAGCACCTGCCCACAGCAGGAGGATGTTCACCAGTCATAGCGCTCAGGGAGGGGTTTCGAGGACCGATCCCCAGTTTCAGCGAAATCACGGAGCTCCCAGTGTCTCTCTGCTGGCACTATGTGACAGGGAGTTACTGCGATTCTTTTCCTGTTTATAGGTGAGCTGTCAATGGCAGCCTAGGTGTGGTTTCATGGGTTAAGAGAGTCAGTTTCAATTCCCAGTAGGCCTTGGACTTTCAAAATATACTATGTATATATACTATCAAAATATACTATGTATATTTTGAAAATACATTGTTTTCCTCAGGGCAAACGACATTTAAAACTGCTGGTGGTGTTCCCGCCACAATGTTTTGTGTCATTTGAAGAACATAAGCAGTCAGGACAGTTGTATTTCTTCCAGAGAGGTTTCTGAATTGAAACCTTCACCTGTACACATGCTAGGGTTCCGGACAAAATCGCAACCGAGTAGAGGAGTGAGTTTTCCATCAACGAACACCAAAACCATGCTTCCACTGGCTGCTGATGTACTACTGGTTTGCAGGTACAACCACACTGATTTAATGCAGATTAATGTGGTTTTTTGTTTTCCCTGTAGAGCAGATCATCCCAGCCTTTTGTTCTGTGGAGCAGAAGCTGCAGTTGTAATGCACAGTAATTCTCAAAAATCCCTTCTGAGCTGCAAAGTCTGACTCCTGCCACACTTTCTTTAGCTGTGAACTTTTTTACTTTGGCTTTTTCTGCATGTACTCAAAATGCGTGCTTAAAGATGTTCAGCAGACAATTTTTCACTGCACACTGAAAACTCGTGGTCTTTTCTTTCTCCCTAAGGAAATTTCTTTGTAAATATTCATTAGATATGCACTCTGACTTCCCTGAATCTCTCTAGGGAACATGGAGCCCTGTCAGGATAGAGGGCAGCAGATCACACATTTTCATTAAGATGGCATAGGCTAAGTGTGAATGGAACTCTGTCGTCTGAGAACTGGGTGAAATACAAAGAAAAAAAGTTAAAAGCGCTGTTCGGCTTGTGAAGAAGGAGTGCTCTGAAATGCTGATCTCAGAATATGAAGTAGATTTTAAAGTCAGCAGCATGTGCTGCAGACGTGCTGCTGGTGCTGTCATTAAAGGGTAAATATAAGGGCGCTTTCCCTGTGGGTTGATTACTTTTGACACATGCCACTGCAGGGCAGATGTAGATATCTTCTGCTGCAGCTATCTGAGTCAGCCTCAGGTGGTGACATCTCTTAATTGCTTTGCAAGCCTCAACCTTAACAACATCTGTTACTGATCAGTTATTTCCTATTTGTAAGATATAAAGGTAAACCAACTCTGTTTGGTCTGTATCAATGTACCTTAGCACCCTACAGGGAGGGAACTGGTTTGTCAGCTGGTCTGTTGACTTGTTACCCAATTGAATCATTCTGAGTGTTTTGTTAGTTTCATAGCAGTAAGCCTTGAGGAAGATCCACTGGTGATTTGGAAGTAGAAGAAAGGCTGCGATCTGATCGGGCAAAGCTTGCTGGCATTGAGCGCTCATGAAAGTTAATGCTGACGATTTCCCAGGTTAGGTAATGAGATTGTGTATTACATTATGCAGCTTCTGAATAGGAAAAAGCAACCCAAATGAATCCCAAACCACTAATGGTAATTGTGAAATAAGATGATTTTGGTTTATCCTTGAAAATGTGTTTGTGAAAGAAAGCAGAGAATAAAAAGACAGCCTTTTTCTTGCTACTTTGCTTCTCCTTGCCTGTGTGAATATTACAAATTGCCTGGTTGATAGCTTTGTCACTTCCAGAACAAAGAAAAATTGCATTTCATTTTTTCCCAATAGTTTCCATTTCCAGTAAGCAAACTTAAAGAGCAAAATGGACTGGACTATGCTTGCTAAGTCTGTCTCTCCTAATGTTCTGTTTCTACCTATGCTTCAAGAAAGTCAGGGCAGACACAGAAGGACCCTGGTCATAGTTCATCTTCATTGCTTCTCGCATTTTAGCACTCAGAAATTTTCTGAGCCAAAGTTTCCATCTGGATCTTAATGTTTAATAGTGGTCAGTAGGCCCACTCTTCAGTAATTTGTCCAGTTCCCTTCTCTAAACTGCTAACATTTAATTTCTTATTTTATCTAGCAAGGTCTACAACTTAGCAATATATTATTTTTAAAAAATTGCTTCCTCAGGTTTGTTTTCAGTTTGCCACCTGTTAATTTCATTAGGTGTCTCCTATGTCTGGTTTTATAAAAAATAGGGAATAACCATTCCCTATTGACTCTGCATAAGATCCATGACTATAAAGATGTCTGCCCTATCATCCTTCTTCATCTTTTATTCAAGCCAAAATATTTTGTCACACTGAAGCACTGCTTTGCAGTGTGTCCCGATCCACATCACCTGTACCACATCCCAGTGCACATCCCGGGAAGCCTCAAATGTGCACCAGTGCTCTCGAGAGGGACCGGGCTGTGTGGGAAAGGAGGGAGGGAGCCCCGGGGTGCCCCAAGATCACCTCTGCTCTGGGCAGCAGGGGACTAGGTGGCCAAGTGCACCCGGCATACCTAAGCTGCGGGATACAGACAGCCTCAGATGTCCTTTTCCGTACCTCTCATATTTCCTAATGTCCTGCCTGAACCTGGGTGGCCAGTGAGCCAGCTGCGGGCATGCTATGCATCTGGACAGCATAAATTTAAAGAGATTTTCTTCTCGGTCCCTTCCCCAATAATTCCCAACATCTGATTTGTCATTTTGATTACTACTGAAGTACCAAACTGGTGCTTTCAGGGGAATATTCATAAATGGCTTGCAGCATCACTCCCCTGAGTGCTAATCACTTTATTCAGAACCCATCACTCTATGTATACAACCGAGGTTATTTTCCCCCCACATGTGTTACTGTGTACTTACTGACGCTGCCAATTTATTGTGTGTTTATTACAGTGAGAGCCTAGAAAATACACAGCTGTACCTCTTCCCACTTGGCTTTTAGATTTCACTTTTAACAAGAAAGCAGCAAGCACTGGTACCTCACTGCTCATCTCCCTTCCTCAGAGTACTTATAACCACACTGAATTGCCAGAACCTTCCTCGGGTTTACTGATACACAGTCCTCAGGATCCAACCAATCCCTTTGTAAACATTGGCATAAAATTCCTTTGGCGCTGAGAACAATTTCATTAAATATATCACATTCAGACCTGAACTACAAAGAAACTCTGCCTACAGAATGTGTAGATTTAGATTTTAAATACTCCAGTAAGCAATGACAGATTTTAAGATTTTTGTTTCTGATCTATCTGTAAGACAGTTGTGATAAATGTTTACTTGTCAGCCAATGCTTCCAGCTACTCCAAAATATAGTTAGAAATAAACAGGCATACAAACAAAAACCAAAGACAGTGTAAATCACAGACATTGCAAATTGAGACTGGGTGCTTTCTTAAAAGGGAAAGAACTTACAAAGTTGGAAAAGAGCAAATTGAGGAAAAATCTGCCTTCTGTTTTACGCAGGGTCAGACAAAATATCCACATTAGCTGATTTGGCTTTGTGAAGCTAATTATTCATCAGCCTTATTTCTTCCTGTTGCAAGCAACCTTCATCCATTTACTGTAACAAGTGTTCCAGTTTAGGAACAGGTGGCAGATAAATAGCAGTCCAGGAGATTACATTAGCTTTTAAATTGTTCCGAATGCCTAATAGTGCATTAGAGGACCTTAAATGCCTGCATTAGAGGACCTTAAAAATATGTTACTCGTCTCTTCAAACTCAGGAGTTTCCTTAATGATTCCTCTCTGTTTGTACTGATGTAAAAATGTGTATTTTGGTCAACTCGCTGGTGCTTTTCTAATGTCTTAATGTAAACCAGTGAAAGCAATATTCTGGAAATTCTTTTAAGTGGAATATATGTTATAGTAGTTGATGCAGTTGGCTGTGCACCAGCATGCAGCCTGCGTTACGTCCGCTGGAGTATTGGGGTGCCCACATGTTCTCTGTCAGGAGCGAAGCAAAGCACCATGTCCCGTGCACTCGGTCCCGATGTACTCTTCTTTCTGTGCTCTGCAAGATGGATTTGAAGATAAAAACCCCCAAAACATACCAAAACAAAAAAACCCCAAACCCTCCTTGAATAAACCTGCTTTTACCCGAGTAGCTGGGGGCTGCTTACTTTCTTCTGTACCCTTTTCTTTTCGTATCTTATTGTAGTACGTCAGCGTTAACAAACAGCATGTTTACAACTCGGATCAAAGGGCTACACACAGTTCAGACGTTATCTGTTCACAAATGCATGTCATTTTACTATGACTCGTTAGCAACAGGGTTCGTGTCCTCATCTTGATGAGTTGATTCACGCATCAAAAAACGTTTGTTAAGCCAGTGATATGCGGGATTAAGGGCTGGCTCTTGAAGTATGCTGCTGTTAAGCCAAGGTTCTGCCATCTTGGCCCGGCAGCCAGTGCTCGCTCTTAAATTAGCGTGGCCTGGTTGAATTTCATAGTATGTTACTGTTCTGCCAGCTATGAGATACATCAGTACTCCTCAGGAGATCAAAGTACTCCAAGGTCCCACTCACACTAGAGGGCACTCTCAAGACTATAAACTGTTACTGCTGTTGCAAAGATGTTATGGTTCTGCTGACAGCAATGTGCCCGGTTTACCAAGAGGATGCTTTCTCCAAGGTTTTTTTTGGTGGTGGTTGTGCCTGGCCTTTCCAGTTGCGTGCCTTCCTTTCTGCTGCACGCGTTTTCCTTTTACCTCGCCTCTTTCTAGATTCTTTTAATCTACTAAGACAAAAGGAAATTGAGCTCTGACAGCGATAACATAACATGGTGCCACGGTGTTCTGATACCTTCCTCTGCAGGCGACAATGTTTTGCATTTAATACTACGTGCTTGTCCTCAGGATTCTTTAAATCTCTGTCCAAATGGTGCTATTCCATTATTTTTTTTTTTACCCGGGAGAAGCTACAGGAACCTCTGTCCTCTCACTAGTCCCACGCAGTACAAAACACCCTCTCCCTCACACGGCATGGGAAGGGCTGGGTAGAACCTTCTCCCTCTCCACTGCAGCAGCATCAGCCCTGGTCTTGTTATTTTGTTGGGAAAAGAAATCCTTGCTCTGAGACAGCTTTGTACGTTGTGCCTTGCATTGAGCTGGAATAACCCAGGGTACATACGTTCAGCTCGAAGGGACTACGTCAGCACATGCTGGGGAAGAACCCGGCTCCCTGCGCTCACTGCATCCAACGAACGCTTCCCCAGCAGCAGCCCGCAAAGTGTGTTTGTTTTAAATATGTGTGGCTGTATTTTCAATCCTGGATAGAGGAGATCTCTGTCTAGAAAACAGAAGCTGCACAGAGTCAAAGCGAGTCCCTGGACGTTGCCAGGATAACATGTCACAGTTACAGGGACCATCACTAGGGCTAATGTGGAAATTTTCTTAGTAGAGTCTTTTTGGTTGAAATCCGTTTACACTGGGAAGTCTTGAAGGCTCATTCTATCTCTGTGCTCTCTG